TTAAGTCACAAGGAGTGGATGCATCTGTACCAGCCATTGAGAACGATTTTCGGCCATATCACCAATTGTTTACAACCATTGGTTTTTACCGTCCAGAGGAACCCAACCAGTCAGGAAGTCTACACCTTCCTACGTGGCTGGCTTAAACTAACTGTTTTGGATTTCATTGACTGGTGAAGCCATGTTTTGGTTTGACCACCGCTAGCTCTTTTCCATCCTGACCCTATGTTAGCTTACATTGTTAGTCGGTCGAGGAAGGCGATAACTAGGCATGCGTCGTAACACATGTCCTAACCATCTCAATCGATGTAACTTCACAGCCTCATCGATTGATTTCCCCTCCTTACCTAGAACTCGACCAAAGCCTAACCTCAATATTGCTCACCCTATTGTACCACTTCACACGGGAGATAGAGCGCAGTGACCTATGATCAAAGACAACTAGCTGGCGTTTTCATGTCTTCCACTCTCAATGGCAAGGTTTCACAGGTAGCCATGAAGCAGGATGGAGCGGACTGATGAGCAGTACACCCGCCCTTTGGTCGATAGTCGGATATCACGTCTACTAAGCCAGAGACGTCGTAAACTGGCATATGCGAAACTAGCCCTCTGGATCCATTCTCAGATTTCGTCAGATATCAACCAAACAGACTAGTGCTTTACTTGAAAGAAGTCTTCAAACAGCAGTAAGGTTTCGGCAAAGAGAAATTGACTCAGTGATTCAAAAGTTACTGTTTGGAATCTGGTTATTATTAATTAGGCTTTACAAAAGCGATAGTTGTCACTACCTCTATAGATAACCAGATTGTGGTAGACTGTCTAATTGATGGTTACAAATTGAATGTCTGATAGACACGTGTTGGTTGCATGATGTTGCGTTTTTTTATTCTGCGTGAACACAATCCACATAAGATGTGTTTACTTGATATGGTACACAGTGATACAAGGACAGTTTACTGCTGATTATAATGTAGAGCCAGTGACACAACTTCTAACACCTCGTTTTTATACTTTATATATACCTTGGCTTACTATTTTATTGGTAAGAAATTTTTTTCTACATAGCTGGAGATGGTGTTGTATAACTTCTGTTGTATGCATAAGATGTTGCTTTTGATAAATAAATACTGCATAGATATCAAAGAATAAAAAATTTACTGAATTAGGAATGACAAACTCCACACCACTATACATGATCTACAGAGAAAAATTCGACTTTTCTTATGCATGTCGTGACATTTAATCAAACAATACAGATCAGTATAGTTAGATGGAGAGAGAGACATTGGTAACTCAGTCGCTTATTTATTGAATCAACACATGAGGTACTCGATAGAAATGACACATAATCAATTTCGAAGATATAAGAAATTTTATTACCAACACAGAACTAAGGAGAAGAGGATGAACGAAACATTAAAATTTAGAGTCAGAGTTGTGTAACTACCTTGATTTGATTATAGTTAATTCACTGATCATGAAAAGTGTTCATTGTCTACTTTTCCAAGTAAACACATTCAATATAAAATCACATTCTATCATATTGACCAGCTTCTCCAACAGTGACTGCAGATAATTTATACTTCTGATATTCTTTAGGCTGCTTATCACTAGCTTCGTGTCAGTTATTGGTGATTTGATGCATCGCTTATAGATTATGTATTTATACTCGGAAAGAATGAAAGATTTACTTAATTATTTGCTAATAGAAAAGTAAAATGTACAAAATGTAAGGTGAAGCTGTAGGGTCTGTACCACTGAATAATAAAAGGATACAGAGTAATATGGTTGAATCGCCTGAACTTTTACCTACTTGGACAACTGCATTTATTCCAAAGAATTGGTTAAAAAGTACTCCCCCTCACCTCAATGGATAAAGTGATTTCTTTGGTACTACCTAACATGAGTCACTTTTCACGTCAGCGAAATAACTAGCTACCTAATAAATAACCTGAATACTTTATAGAAGTTCCCTCCGTCCTTCTTTATGGTTGTGAGATAGAAGAAACTAAAAGGTTACGATTTCAAACCACAACTACCTTGGGGAATAGAGATGATACATCAAGTGATGCCATGTATTTGCCAGTTGCTGGTACAGCCACTTCAACCCTTGCATGACGAGTTAGTAAAGCATAGCGTCAAGGATACCTTTCAATTTATTGACAACTAACTTAGTTTAATTTCATGTGTTTTGTTCCTTATGTAAACTAACAAGGTGAAGCGTCCCAAGGGATGCGGACGCTCCAATGACCTGGAACGCATTGTAGTCGTTGGCTAAGGACACCTGTCATTATCACAGCGCAAATATGAACACTATTCATCAACTAAACAGCGAAATTCACCCAGATCATGTTTTTAAGTACTGTTTGGACAATGTGTTAATAGGTAGTTAGGCTTAGGATCAGGGTTATAATTAGGATTTGGGTTGGGATTACGGTTAGGATAAGAGTTATAATTAGGGTTAGGATCAGTATTACAATTGGGGATAAGTTTGGAGTTGGTGTTATTTATTTGAATTTGTTTTATTTTTCACATTTTCCTAGTAAGTAGTTCTCGATCCTCTTACTGGAAATCATAGTGATTCGGCCAACGGCATTTGGGGAAGACTGCAAAACAGGATAAGAGCGATAAACAGGTCACAAAAAAAGCTCAGTGAATACCTGTACAGAAACTGATCTAACTTAGCAACTGATACTCCTTATTATAACTAGGAGGTAATTTTTTTATTTCAGCTTGATTCCACAATGTATTTTTGGTACAAGTATGGAATTTTCAGCATGTCATGTCGGTAGCCCAAATTTTGCAGGCCAACCATAGATATCAGGTGTGCGTCGGCAGGGGATCGAACCCCGGACCATGTGCGTGATCGGCGGTAGTCCTAACCATTGTGCCACCGAGACACATTCGAGAAAAAAATACCCGGTTTAATGTGTTTTCATGCATTTTCTTGTAAATAAACGTCATTTTTGGTACAAAAATTACTTGATTTCATGGTTGGTCTGCTCACGGTCACTCGTGCGTTCGCATCCCTTGGGACGCTACAGTTTAACTTTGTCCATGAGTCTTAACAGACAGGTGGTTGCACGATGTGTTAGGATAATTGAGCTACCGCTTTCCTTAACAGGATGTTAGGTAAGTAAAGGTTTGGGATAGTCACACTAAAACATGGTTTCATTACAATTACATCTGCGACTATGTATCAAGCTGTCTGGTTTGGGTTCTCGGAAGGCTAAGAAACACCAATTGAAGACTTTAAGTGATAGGACTTAAAGCTTTTCGTAGTCACTCTCCGCTATCTTTGAAACTTTGAAGATCCTGCTTATTCTGTTACCCTTCTTCTCTCAAGGATTTGTTCATTGCTTTCTTCATCTTTTTGAGGTATTTTAAAGTTTCGCAAATGTGTTAACTTCTATGTTATTAATTTGTATTAAAATGATTTGACCAAAAGATTTATTTTTAGTACACCCAAACATATAAAAGCCACCATCAACGGGAGAGATTTGAAGGAGGTTACTTCCTGCCCTCACTTATCTAGGAAGCACAATTTCAACTACAGGCGGAATGGATGAAGATGTCAAAGCCAGCCAGTATCGGAAAGGCAAGATACGTCTTCATTAACCTGCCAAAGTTTGGAAATCTTCTGCACTGACTCAACATAAAGAACAAGATTCGGATTTTCAACACAAATGAGAAGTCAGTCAGAAAGAAATAGCAACAATAAACTGTGACAATGAACAAACCGACCAACAGCCGATTTTTTTAACAAATATGTCGGAGAAAGTGGAGATGGATAGGACATACGTTGAGGCCGTCGAATGATATCGCTCGCCAGGCCAACGGTCGAGTGGAATCCCGATAAGAAGTGACGAGTGGATCGTCCGAGGGTGACATGTGGCAGATCGTGCAAGAAGGAGATGACAGATTATGGGTAACCGTGGACCCAGCTGAAGAGGACAACAGAAAACAGAAGGAAGTGGAGATGTGTTGTTGAAGCCCTATGTTCCGCCACTCAGAACCGCGGAAATAATAATAAATAATAACATAAATTCATTACAGGATTTCATCATGAGCTAACATCGGCAAGAGGACCATTGGGAAACCTGGGAGTACTGGATAGCTATTTCGTCTCAGTTTGGGGCTCTTCAGCAGTACCCACCGAGGTTCACATTCAGGACCTCCCAGTCACAACGCGAGCTCATAGACCATTAGGCGACCGAGACCCGATTCAGAAGGTCCTCGGTTCGAACCCTGGTGATACGTACTGCTGAAGAGTCCCAAACTAGGCTGGCGAAACAGCTGTCCAGTACTTCCAGCTGGTTTTCCAATGGTTCCCTAACCAATGTCATCTGATGATGAAATCCTGCAACCAATCAGTCAAATCGCTACAAACCAATACTTGAATAACATAAATTCGTTAACGTTGTAGTTACTTTACATCCAACTTTCAACATGAGTACATGTATGTACAAACAGCTCATATGCTAGAAACACTGTCAGTGTGGTTCTATCCCGACACTATGCACGGTTCGTCATTAAAAGCGCAATCAGTAAAAAATATTTCAGCTTATCTCTGAGCAATTTCACACAAAATAACGTAATTTAGAGGTTCTTATTATGAAACCAAACATTTCACAGTTCGTACGATTCAAAAGCTTACTGAATAAATTCAGAATCTTGAGCCGTTTATTGCTGAAGATGCCACTAAGTATGATGACAAAATCTCATAGTGAAATACTAAAGGTCAAGGAAGAAAACATCAAACAATTTCAACCATTACACAAAACAACAAATCATGTATATTATTTCAAACTTGGGATTCATACTTCAAGTCTAAATAACATCAGCACAAAAAAGCAGACAGATATTTGTTACAACTTATTGAACAGGTTTTTTTATGAAAAAGGGGGAAACATTTGAATCGTAATAGGTATTGGCAGAGGGTAGAAAAATGATACAACTGCTATAAGAACAGAAATTCTGATAAAGACAATTTAACTTACTTCGCCTTATGTGGTTGGTATTCAGGTTTATCCTGATAAACAGAACTAGCTGAAAACGCTGATGGTGGTAGTGTTAATGGTCCAAGATCTTTATTAATTGATTTGATCCCATTTGAGACTAAAAAACAAAACAAAACGAAATGAAGATACTACAAGTTCTATCGTTATATATAGCAGATTACGGGTTAGTCTTATAAAACTTATTAAAGCAAAGGAAAAAGAACAATATTTGTCGGTTGCTATGTCTACGATTATTAATGAACAGAAGGATTGTTTGACTTAGCCATTGAACCACACACATACAAACTAACATGAAATGCATTAAATTTTTCTACTCACGAAAAAAGCTGAGTTAATTTTTATTTTAACTGATAATTGCTAAACCCTGGCAGTATAAGACATGTTGTTAAGCTCTATGCAAACACAGTATTATGAGAAGAACTAGTAGTTGGACACATTTAATCAAATATACTTGAATATGAGTTGATCACGGATTGATATCAGTTAGAGAACCATTGAAAACCAGGGAGTAATGGACAGTTGCTGTTTCGAATTGGCAGAAGTTAGAATTCATGAGCCATTGAACCGGTCCCAGTGGCTGAATGGTGTACGAGCTGGCCTTGTAACCGGAAGGTCCTAAGTCCGAATCCCAGTGGGTGCGTACTGCCGATGATTCCCAAACTAGGATGAAACAGCTGAATAGCTGTCCATTACTCCCTGGTTTTCAATGGTTCTCTAACTGATATCAATCCGTGATCAACTCGTAAAAACATAACTAACCCTTACAAACCAAACTATACTTGAGTAGCCTACCGACGTGTTTTATGCTGTCAGCATTACGAATACGGACAGCAATATAGACAGCAATCAAGACAACTAGCGAGGAACTAAATTCACCAGGGATTTTAGACGATGGTTTACTCAGCAGTTCAACAATCATTCTTGAAACCTAAGTGGTCGTGTACAAAAAAGAATGCATTAAGAACATGTAAGTACCCTTTTCAAAAACTATCCGATTGTTTTCAAATTACACTTCTGCTATCACAACAGTAAAATGCTTAGCTTATGGAACATCAAACAATTCCCATGGCCAGCCAGTACGATAAATCTTCTCTGTTAATGGAATACCACTTCGGGGATTATTTATTCTGTCGCTAAATTTTCAAAAATATTTTGATAAAACGAGAACTTAGAAGAAAATATAATTCAGTTTCGTAATCACATGAGATTTTTGAAACTATCTAGTTGACCATATACAAATCATACCAGTTGTGATAAGATCACAAGATTCAACGATAGAAGAATGTGTGTAATTCGAATCTGTATTATGTTATGAAGAAACATTAGAAAGTACTAATCTACACCTCTCTTCTTTGTATACCGACCATAACTAAATCATGATTTACTAACGATGAACAAAGAAGAGAAGGAGATACCCGATAAATGAAAGAAACATCAAGGTTTGAAATAAAATTTATATTATGGGTCAACTAATATTCTCTCTGAATTGTCGCCCGAAACACCTGTCAAAATACAAATTCATTTATATTTCTAATGTTTATGTCTTTCCTGGCTGTACCATATTGGATTTATCTATGTTCGCCGATGAATTCACCGCTTTTGCTGCAGCTTGTTTCGAGAACTCTTCATCAATAGTAACTGGCGACTTCAATGGAAGCGATTGCTCCTTCCTTATATCACTTGGTCATGACAATATTGTTAACTTTGCCACCCGTCTTGGTAAAAAACTGGATCTAGTATTCATTAATGATGCTGGCATATATGAAACTCGCAAATGTGCTCCTCTACTGAATTCTGACCACTGCATCACACGTGTACTGCCTAAAATATATTCCAAATCACACAAAGGTGTCCTTTCTCACCTCTACAGTAAAGTTCAACGGAGATGCTACTCAAAAGACAACCTAGACAAGCTCAGATGCATGTTGAAAGACACTAACTGGGACTTATTTACAGAACAATCACAAACACTACCGATTATCTTAAATTCTGTTTCGAAATATGTTGTCCTAAAGAAACATTATAATAGAGGTTTTTGTATTTCCCAATGAATGAAAAAACAAAACGAGATTGTTTTTACTGACGTTTCGCTATTTAATGCTAATAGCTTTCTCAAAGTATTATTAAACCGGAATTTACAAAATCTCAGCATATATATAACAAAGAATTAGGGGGTGAGAAAAATCTCGTTTTGTTTCTTCATTCATTGGGAAATACAAAAACCTCTATTATAATGAATATCATATACCCAATGCCCAAATTTTTTCAAACCGTTAAAAGTGAACTTGGTTTGGATATATATAATCTAAAGAAGCATTATTCATTCGATTTGATCGCTTATCTTCCCCATATCTCAAAAAGCTACGTAGAAATAAAGAACTGTTGTTCAAAACTAATGATAAGCCTGGTGTAAAAAAGTTAAACATGCTGATAAAACTGGAAATAAAAAGACTAAGTGTTTTATATAATCAAAGATTTTTGTCATGTAAAACCCCTTCTAATTTATGGAAACTTTTCAAAGAAATTACTAACGGTAAGCGATGTATTTCTGTTCCATCTCTTAATGTTGACACTCTTAATAAATCTTTCATACGCTCTTCTGTTGATACCCTTCCAAATGATACAAATCATATTGACAATAACTTTAGTGGTTTTAATACCCTTGATGTGCTTAAATGTCTCCGGTCTCTTAAGCCTTCTCAAAGCCTTGGTCCTGACGGCATACCTGCCATTGTCCTCAGGAATTGTGCTGATATTTTGTGTTATCCTCTTACTAACATTTTTAATGCTTCTTTTTCCGGTAACGTTCTACCTTTTGCATGGAAAAACATTAAAATTATCCCTATACCAAAACCATCTTCTGGTTCTGATATTAAATTTCGGCCTATTGCAATTACTTCCCCCTTTTTAAAATTGATGGAAAAATTACTTTTACTTCGTCTTGAACCCGCTTTGAAACCTTTTAATGATCCTAAACAATTTGCATACAAACATGGTAGAAGTACCTTGGATGCTGCGGTTGTCTTATATCACAATGTTGTCTCTTGTTTAGACAAAGGTGCTAAATATGTTCGTAGTGCTTTCTTAGACTACACATCTGCTTTTGACTCTGTACCTAGGGGCCTTTTGTTAAATAAGCTATCGTTGACACAAACAGGATCCTGGGCTAAGAGTTGGTTGCATTCCTATTTTTCTGATAGAATGCAGTATACTGTATATAACGGCAAATCTTCTTCTACCTCGCTTACAAAATCCGGTGTTCCACAAGGTGCTGTCCTCTCTCCTTTTCTTTTTTCTTTCTTCCTACATGACCTACCTCATTCAAACGAAACTAACTTTGTCAAATATGCAGATGATCTGACTGTATCACTGCCTATCACTTCCGAGTCTGACAGCTCCAAACTTAATAGCTTTCTGTTGGACATCAACAACTGGTCCAAGTCAAATGGTCTTATATTAAATCCTTCCAAATGTCAGGTGCTTGACTTTACTTTCAAGCATCGACGTGACTTACTTGAACTAGTTAACTCGCATGATCCCTGTAGCATAGATGGCACGGAAATTGAAACCAAATCAAGCATTAAATACCTTGGATTAGTTTTTTCCTCTGACCTTTCATGGTCATCCCATATCTTATCTATCTCTAAGAAAATGTTTCGTCTTACCTTCTACATTAAAAAGTTAAGACAATCAGGTATCAACCAACCTTTAGTTTTGCAATTTTTAAACTCCTGTATTTTACCTATTGTACTCTATTGCTCTCCATTAATCTTTCCTGGGCTTCTCAAAAAAGATTATATCATATTACGAAGAGTATTAAATGCTGTGAGTAGAGCTTGTGGTCTGCCACTGCATGAGCTCGCTAATACTATAGTCGAGAGGCATATAAATTCCTGTACGAAATGGGCAAAGGCTATAATGTCAGACCCTCTGCACCCCCTTTATTCACACCTGTCCCCTTGTATCTCATCAGGTAGGACGAGAAGTCAATATAAAAAGATATATGCTCGTACTACTAAGTATAGAAATTCTACAATACCCTATTTAGCGCGTACTTTATGTGACGAAGACTCTGTTAGACGTGAAACTTACAAGTTACTATGTAATTAGCACAGTGAATCGACCCTTTTATCGTTCATCTTTCTGTATTTTATGGTGTCACACTTTCTATCGTTTAAATCGTTACTCTGCTATTTTATTTTTAGTTGGTATTACTATTATTACTACAATTTTGTACTTTATACATATTTTTCTCCGTATGGCACACAGTATTTTGCTACGTAGCTGCTACAACAATCGTTTTATTACTATTATGTATTGTGTATTTTTAATTTTTTTTGTCGTTTTTGAGTAAATTAGATGCAATATTGTACTGAATGCTGAAAATTCCTTGCTGTATCATGAGTACTGTTTTTGGAATAAAGCTATTATTATTATTATTATTATTATTATTATTATTATTATTATTATTATTATTATTATTAATCAGACTTAAGCAGTTACTTCACTATGTGCCTAAAAATAATAAGAGATTGTAATTACTCAATTTTAGAAGCAATGAAACTCATAACCCACAATTTTTACTGAGCGCACGAAGTTATAAAACTTAATTTACTAGCCAGTAATTGACATTTTTAACATTTACCCAATTAAATCACCGAAAATACCCATTGAGCGACGAAAATAAAACACAAATTCAGCGAAAAGAATTTTCTTCATCGAAGAAATCATCTTCAAAGGCTGTACTGTCGTATTTATATTTACCAAAAATGTAAAGCAGTCTAGTAGTGAGTAATTTTCAAGCACAGTTTCGTCCTAGTTTGGGACTTCTCATCGGTACGCACACACCGTGGTTTGAACCAAAACAAAATCCTTACAAAACCAAAACTTGAAAAATGATTCGATGCTCACTAGCGACTGGTCCTATTCAGGCAGTTACCTGGGGTTCTGATGGGAAGCCGTAACCAGTAGGGTGCAGCAGGTTGAAGGTAAGGCAGTAACTCATCGAAGAAGACATTGTGAAGTGGTCTTACTATCTCATGAATTGGCGGAAGCTAGAATTCATGGACTGGTCATTGGATCGGGTACCGGTGGCTC